CGGTTGGGAGCGTGCAAGGACATGTGGTGGATGAGTCGAGGGCTATGCTGCGCCGGACTCGATCGTACGTTCCCTCTCTCTTTCTCTCTCTCCGCGGGGCAGGCGACGGAAATCGGACTTCCTCGGCGTGCAGACCGGGACAACGGTGCTGTATCTGAGCGTACGCTGACTCGGAAGGTTTTTGCGCAGCGAACGAGACGTGCAGAGCGTGGCAAACTTGGGGAGAACTGGTCGCGAGCGAGAAACACATTGTCGTGCGGGCGATCGCCCAGTATGGAGTCTACATCACATTAGCGGTGAGTTCAACAATAGTTGTGGAGGAAGGACCGGAGCTGAGCGAGGCGGGATCCTGCAGGTGCTGTTCGCTGTGACGGCTTCAGCTTTCGTCAACGTCTTTGCGCCGCACGCTTTCCATACCGGGATCCCCGAAATCAAGGTCATCCTCGGCGGTTACGACCTCAAAGGCTTCCTTTCGCCCATGACTCTCGTCATCAAGTCGCTCGGGTTGCCCCTGGCGGTCGCGAGCGGGCTCAGTCTCGGCAAGGAAGGCCCGCTCGTCCACGTCGCGTGCTGTATCGGCGATCTCGCCCTGCGACCGTTCCCGGCTCTGCGCGGCAATGGAGGTGAGTTGCCATCTTGTCTCAATTTTAAACGCATGGCTGAAATCGATGCGCTCTCCGGACAGCTCGACAGCGGGAGATCCTGTCCGCAGCTGCTGCGGCCGGCGTGTCTGTGGCTTTCGGCGCCCCCCTCGGCGGTGTCCTTTTCGCCCTCGGTATGCCCAATTCTCGTCTCCTGAGAGATAGTTGAAAGCTCATTTGGTGCACTCTCACCGGGCAGAGGAAATCTCGACATTCTTCCCCGGCTCGACTCTGTGGCAATCCTTCGTCTGCGCGATCGTCGCCGCCGTCACGCTGCAGTACATCGACCCGTTCAATACCGGCAAACTCGCCCTTTTCACCGTGACGGCTTCCCAAGTCTGGCGCGGCTTCGAGCTCGTCCCCTGGTTCTTGCTCGGCATCGCCGGGGGGATCTGGGGCGCGTGGTTCATCCGCCTGAACGAGGACTGGGAGCGGTTCCGTCGCTCGTCTGGACTCGGCAAGTGGCCCATCTCCGAAGTGACCGTTCTCGCGCTCTTCACCGCTGTCGTCAGCTATCTCATTGTCTTCATGCGGATCCCGTCCGCCGAGCTGGTCGTCAACCTCTTCCGAGATTGCAGCGAGCCAGATCCATACGGTCTTTGCGAGTGAGTCGGGACGCTTACTACTCACAGGTGTTCGTACAGAAGCTGACTTGCGAAGTGGGCAGCTCATCCAACGCGACATCGATCGTGCTCCTCCTCCTCGTTGCCGCTTTCGCCAAGACGCTGCTCACCGCCGTCACCTTTGGCTCTTCCATCCCGGCGGGCATCTTTCTACCTTCCTTGACCATCGGAGCCTGCGTCGGCCGCGCCGTCGGTCTCGTCATGGATCAGCTACACCGCGCGCATCCGGAAAGCTGGGTCTTCTCCGACTGTCCCGCCGACGGAGGATGCATCAACCCGAGCGTGTATGCCGTGATTGGTGCTGCCGGAGCACTAGGCGGAGTCACACGCATGACGATCAGTCTGGTAGGTTGTTCGCACCCACCGCTTCTGCTGCTCCGCTTTTGCGAGGCTAACGACGGACGCCCTTGGTCTCCTTCCCGCAGGTCGTCATCGTCTTCGAACTCACGGGAGCAATCGACATCGTCTTGCAGCTTATGATGGCTGGTAAGCGTCCACCTCCTCGAGCGGTGCGCAAGGATCAGGACTGACTGGGCATCCTGCAGTGATGGTCGCCAAGTTCACGGCCGACTACATCTCACGAGACGGCATCTACGAGAGTATGTCCTTCCCTGGGTGACGACGTTCTCCTGAAGGTTCTGCTGACGCTGCTTTGCACCGGACTCCGGCTAGCTTGGATCAACTTGCGGCATTACCCGTTCCTGAATAACAAGGCCGACTACCGGCGAGACGAGGTGCTCGCAAGACACGTCATGACGCCCGCCGCACACCTCGAGTGCCTGACCGATGAAGGCTGGACCGTCTCGCGAATTGGTGCGCACCTTTCTCTCGGACTGCCAAGTTTGCCGGCACTAACGTTCGTTTCCTCCCCGCTCTAGAGGGTCTGTTGCATCAGGAAGACTTCTCAGGCTTCCCGATCATCCGGACCCGTCAAGATCGTGTCGTGCTCGGCTTTATCGGCAGACAAGACCTGATTTCGGCTCTCAGTGCGCTCCCTGGTCTCGACCCCTGTCTCAGACTCGATATGCTGATCTTCGCCGCCTCGCGCACCCGCAGAGCGCGCTCGTCAGCTGCCAGACGTGAAGGCTAGCACGCCTTGTTACTTTTCCGCGCCGACTCGACGGCAAACCGGCAGGCAGTCTCGGTCCGCCGATTCGTCGAAATCGACAACTCCGCGCGGGCGACAAATCCCTTTGCCGCTCGAGCCTGCTCTCGCCGCTGCGACGGCTGCGATGGCCTGGGACTCGGAGGTCGAGACGGCGGCGGCGGCGCCGCTATTGCCACGGGCTTCCGGCTCTGAAAAGGAGTCTTTGCGAGAGGCAGACGGAAGATGGAGTGCAGAACGGGAGGAGGAAGAACAGCCGCGCGCAAGCGCTGCAGGACCGGCAGACAGCGCCGGACCGGCCTGGATTTCCCTGGTGCCATGGATGGATGAGGTGCGTTGACTATGCCGTAATCGTCTGTCGTCCTGGTACTGACTGCTCGGGGTTGCAGATCCCTGTGTCGCTCAGCGAGGACACGCCGATGGAGGTCGTCGTGCAGATGTTCCAGCGACTCGGCCTCCGTTTCGTCCTTCTCTCCCGCTACGGGACTCTAAGAGGCATCCTCACCAAGAGCGTGAGTTCCCCTTCCCGATCCGCTTTCTTTGTGCGCGAATGCTGAACTCCAAGGAAACAGGATCTGCATGAGCACATCCAGTGTGACGAGGACTAGGGAAGTTGTAGACTCCGGTGATATGCATATAGAGCTCAGCCTTGTCTAAGGAGAGTGCCCGTCCAGTGTGCGCTGCGGTGGGCCAAACCTAATCAGATCTCGCTCTGCCCCCCTGGAGCGCCGGAAGCCTCAATGTTGATTATGTTTGTAACGGCTAGAACGCTACCAACGCGGCCTGATGGTCTAGAGGCATGATTCTCTCTTAGGGTTAAACATCGTTTGGGAGAGGTCCCGGGTTCAATCCCCGGTTAGGCCCCAATTCTTTTTTTCGCGGGCCGGCGGCGCGGCGGCGCGGCGCTCTCGCTCTTTTTTGGGTGCCAGTAGACCTTAGACTGCGGGCTGTCCCACGCACACGCTTCCCCAAAGGTACACAACGTCAAAGCGGGCTGAATTGCACGAGAGGGGGACGAACGAAACTAAGGATTCCTTCGAGTGGCCGTGGGGAGAGCAAGATGAACAGAAATAGCATCTCACGCGCATTTTTATTAATTATCGGTTTCGCTCTCGTCCTATATGCGAACTCCCGCAACGCTGCGGTGAGACTGTGCAACTTTCGCATCCTGCGTGCCCGGAATCGGAGTCAGCATTCATGTTCAGCTGCAGTCCGCCGGGCTGTGCCGCTGACCTGCTCGACAAACTCCTTGGCGCGCTGCCGCTCCTTTACAAACTTGGCGACCCGGGAACCGGGCAAGGGCTCGTCCGGACTCCTCTTCGTGGTTGTCTTCCGGGTGATGGTCCGGCTTCCGGACGGGCGCAAGGACGAGTCCGCATCGTCCTGAGCCTGGAGGGACCAGAGATGCTCGTCGAGCGTCTCAAAGTCGTCGCGGAAAGCATGGCCTGCAGGGAGAATGTGAGAACCGAGTGAGCGTCTGCAGCATGCGAGGCAAGAGTAGGATCCACGAACGGGAGTCTGTTTCATACGTCAAGCGGCCCGGCTTGTCTGCGGGGTAGACTTGACGTCAGCAGAAGCACTCGGGGAGTACAACAGACGTAGAACTTGCAGTGGCTCGCCAGCACGCAAAGCTTGGTGCAGGGGTGCGCATCAGGATAATTCTTCTTGAGATGGTCGAGGCGGAACAGGGTGCCCTTGCGGCAGACGCGGCAGTAGCGACGCAGGACATAGAAGTCTGGAATAAATTGCGTTCCTGTGCAGTTCTGCGCGAGAGAGGAAGAGTGGTCAGTGCCTAAGTGCGCAATCCGACAAGAAAAGCAGCAAACGGTGTGCCGGCGACGTACGGTGCAGCGTTTCCAGAGCGCGATCTCGGCGTATTGCCACGGCGTGAGGAGGCCGGCTTTGAGAACAGGCAGGCCTTCCTCGGCCAAGGCGTGCGACCAGATCGGGGCGCCGTCGGGGCCGGACAGCAGACGGTACAACGTTCTCGACGTCTCGCGGAGGTGGATTAGACTGACCGCGTCGACGTGGCGGAGGATCTGCGGGTACACACGCCGTGACTTGTCAGCGCGGCGATCTGCGGACCTGAATCGTCTGCGGTCACGCGTACATACCTCGAGAAGCGGGTCGAGGGGAAGCGGTGTGAAGCGGTCGGTACCCTTCGGCTTTGCCCTGCTCTTTTTGGCGGGCTTTTTCGCCTTTTTCTTTGCCTTCCGCGCTCCGGAGAAGCTCACGTCGTCGTCGTCGTCGTCGTCGCTGCTGTCTCCGGTGCGAGCACGTTTCGCCGGACGGGTGGTCACGTCGGTTTCATCGTCGCTCGAAGGCGACTCGGCGTACGAAGTCACGACCGAGCTTCTGCGACCACGAGCTGCCGGCATTCTGGCCGTTTTGACTGGCGGCGGATAGCAGGAGAGCGAGAGGGAGAAGAGCCTTTCGAACTTTCCCGCGGAGGCGCGTGCACGTGAAAACACGTTATCGCGCGCGCGGGTAGTACGCGCGGGGCAGTCAGCAATAGACTTCTCCGGTAGGGAGGTGGTCTACGTTGATTGCATTCTAACTAGCTGTCCACATTAGTGGAAACACGCAAAAATATGACGATGATGACAAGTCCCCCCGAAGCAAAAAGGAAACGGGCCTAACCGGGGATTGAACCCGGGACCTCTCCCAAACGGTGTTTAACCCTAAGAGAGAATCATACCTCTAGACCATCAGGCCGTTCGAAGCTTGGCCGTGGCTTTCAGCATACATAACCAGCTACAATCTAGGCACTCTGCGTCCCAGAGCTCGCGCTGCTCATGCACGGTCGGAGAGGACTTTATGGCCGCGAACTCTTCCGCAGAGGGAAACTGAGCTGGTATATGTACTCCGGCTACTCTTCTGCCTCGTTTGGTCACACGCAGGAGGATCTCCACATGTTTCAAGCGGCAGTCAGTGAGGCGGCAATCTAAAGGAACTCAAGCAGACATTACAAAGACTGTATGTACAGACCAGCCAAGGCGTCGGAGGCGCAGAAAGGAGTAGCTACACTAGGAGGATAGAGACAGGAAGAGAGACAGACGAAAGCGGAATCGAAGTTGGGGAAGGACTTGTTTGGTTTAAAGGTCGAGTTCGAGGAGCGAGGGTGTGCGTGTTCCGCCAAGTTTACTTCGAGACGTCGACCTTGGAGTCAACGACGAAGAGAGGGGCCTTCTCGTCGACAGAGTCGCGCTCTTCGTCGACCTCGTACGCCGGAAGAGCCTCCTCGTCGTCGCCTTCGGGGAGGGCGATCGCCCCTTCGGTCTTGTCGTCGTCCTGCTTCGGGACCCAAACCTCCTTGTAAGTCCACATGCGCTTGAACTCGCCGCGGATTGAAGCGGTGACGACGAGGCCGACGACCATGAACGGGATCGAGAGCGTCAAGGTCAAGTAGTCGGTCGGGCGCATGAGCATCGTGTCTTCGTCAAGGGGCATGGCCGTCGAGATGATTCCGAACGACGCCAGGGCGGCGAGGAGCCAGGACCAGAGGGCGGTCGTGTAGTACGGGCGGGCGAAGCCGACCGGGTCGGTCTGTGGGACGATGATACCTTCAGAGAGGAGGGCGGTAAGCTTCGGCGGCGCCGGCGTGGTCGCAAGCTGGCCAATCGAGGCGACCTCCGGGCTGGACTCGACGTGGTTGGCATAGTCGAAGCGGTAGCAGGCCGCGATCTGCGCGAGTAAACGTCGAAAACCCGAGAGAAAAATGAGTTCCCGCGCCCAGGACGCGGTCACAGGGAGAACCCTGGCAAGCTTACCAGAAGACCCGGAGCGAGGGCGAACCACGCCGACATCCACATGCCGGCGTATCCGTTGAGCAGCAACGCGCCCGTCGGGCCATCGTACGCTTCGCCGGTCGCGACCGTGCCGTCACTTGCCGCGCCGTCCATGTAGTAGTTGGCGATGAGCATGATCATGACTCCCGACAGGATGAAGGTCAGGGCAAGCCAGCTGAGGAGGCAGATGGTGTAGATCCGGATCGAGAAGGTGCGCATGTGGCCGTACGCGAGGAAGCGGTACAGGACGGCGGCCGAGATGGCGAGACCGGCAGCGTAGTGCAGCTCGAAGAAGGCGGCGGCGTTCAGGGAGGTCGCGATGGCGGCGCAGACGACGACACGGCTCCACGAAGCGGTCCCGACGACGCGGCGGAAGACGAGCACTGATTTTTGGAGGTAATTTCTCGCGTCAGATCTCGTGTACCTCTCGTCTTCGGCGTCGTCTTCGGTGTAAGCATACTCACAGCTCGGAGCGCGGTAGACGGCCACCTCGTAGGCCTTGGTCAGGTCGGCGAAGCCCTGGTATTCCAAAGAATGGTTAGTTCGACACGATCGCGAGACGTCCTCGACGGGCGGTCACGCACGAGGTAGATGCTGCGCTGGAAGGCGGCCGCAAAGAGATAGCGGCAGCACATGGCGAGTACTTTCTCATTCTGGGTCGAGATGAGGTAGATCTCTGAACCAAAGATGCCGAAGATGAGGACCAAGCCGAGCAGGTTACGACGCCACGAGAGTTTCTTCTTGAGCTCTTCCGACAGTTCGGGGGCGGGACCGAGTTGCTGGGCCGCAAGATACGCCTGTCGAGCGCACGGTACAGTACTGGATGCGTCAGTTTCTTTGCAAACCTTGGTTTTCAGTGACTAAGTTTGGGCGATTTGTGGTGGTGGCGCCTGAGAAAGAAGGCCCGTGCACACTCACGCGGAGACTGTGGCGCGAACCGACGGTGTAGGCGAGCAAAGCGGGTACGATGGCCGTATGCTTGAGCGTGTACGTCGCGTACTCTGTGAACGACGCCATGGCTGCTGAGGGACGTTATCGAGACGAGTCTGCTTCGGGCAAGCGACGTCAGCATCGGTCCTCGTTGGCGCGCGCCGGGTAGCGGCGTACGCACTGATGGTAGGCCTAGTTGGCTTGGTGTATCAGTCACCCGCTGCTTCTCTCTGCAGACGAGTTGAGGACGAGGGAACCGAATCGCTCAAGGCGCTCCACATGGCGTCGACATTCAACAGGGGGAAGCTGGAAAGGAGATCACCTCTCTAACTACAGGGCTACTCGGTGCTCCTGCAGGTGTTCCCCTATCTCGTTACCGTGCTATCAATAGACTTTCCGATCCCAGGGTGGGCATTTGGCTTGGTTGGAGGGTAATGCTCCTCAGCGCTCTCGGCCGATCGACTCGGTTTCCAAAAGTCTGGAACGTCAAGAGGCAGTGCAGCCTGCTGTAAGTTCGCTCAAAAGATGCCAGCTCGCCACAACACGGGCCCAGTCGAGACCCGGCTTGCCCGCTCGCTGTCGGCCTCCGGCGCCGCTTCTCTCGCCGACCCCAAATTCGCAACCTACCTCGACGAGAATGACAAGCTCGCGGACCTCAGGGCTCAATTCTCAATCCCGAATAAGAGGACGGTCTGGACGGGCATACCGGGCGACGGAGCCGAAGCGGCGGCGGTGGGAACAGGCGACGCAGGCGACGGCGAACAAGAGTCGGTCTACTTGGCCGGTAACAGTCTCGGCTTGATGCCAAAGCGGACGCCGGAACTGCTCAGTCAAGAGCTGCAAGTCTGGAGTACGAGGTGTGTCCGGCCTGAACGTCTCGCACAACAAGTGCTTGGCGACTTGACGGTCGAAAACTGATCTTTCTCCCTTGCAGTGGCGTGCTGGGCCACACGGACCACGAATACGGTCGACCTTGGGTCAAGATCGACGAACAGGTCACACCCTTTCTTGCAGAGATCGTGGGCGAGTACTTGCCCTCGCCAATCCGGAAACGCGACCCTAGCTGACTGATGCGTTCCCTCGTCGTTTCTTACGACCGCAGGCGCGAAGCAATCCGAGGTCGCGTGCATGGGAACCCTGACCGGCAACCTGCACACCCTTTTCACCTCGTTCTATCAGCCGACTCCGCAACGGTACAAGATCATGTACGAGGGCAAAGCGTTCCCGTCAGATTCCGTGCGTCCGGTTCCTGCCTGCGCAATCATTCTCTGGAGGGTGTACTGACACGGCCCCTCCAGTACGCATTTGCTTCACATGTGGCTCTGCACGATTATTCGCCCTCGTCGCTCCTGCCCGTTTATCCCCGGGAAGGCGAGCATGCCATCCGGACAGAAGACATCCTGCGCATCATCGAGGAGCAAGGCGACTCGATCGCCGTCATCTGCTTCGGAGCTGTCCAGTACTACTCTGGACAGTGGTTCGACATGGAAGCGATCACACAAGCTGGGAGGGCCAAGGTGAGAGGCGTCTGTTCCGGTCGCGCTTCGATCTTCGCCCCCCTCAACTCACGCCCAACCTTGCCAGGGCTGCATCGTCGGGTTCGACTGCGCGCACGCCGTCGGCAACGTCCCACTCAAGCTACACGACTGGGGCGTCGACTTTGCGTGCTGGTGTTCGTACAAGTACCTGAACGCAGGGCCAGGCGGTATCGCCGGTCTCTTTGTCCACGAGCGATGGGAGGAGCGCAAGCGGTGAGCTCGGCAATGTTCAATCACACGCATCGATCGGGCACGGGTGCTGATGAGGCCCGCACGCGGCAGATTGCACGGCTGGTGGGGGCATGACAAGGCGACTCGTTTCGCGATGCCGTCGAGTTACACGCCCTTGCCCGGCGCGGCAGGCTGGCAATTCTCGAACCCGTCCGTCCTCGACGTCGTCGCGCTCCTCGCCTCCCTCCAGATCTTTGACGCCGCGGCCCACATCCTCCCTCGCGAATTGGCGGACGGGCACGTCTCGCCGCGCGGACACGTACTCGGCGCTCTGCGGGAAAAGAGTGTCGACTTGACTGGGTACCTCGAGATCTTACTCCGGTCCAGCAGGTACTACCGGGATCCGTCACCATCCGAGGGTGCCGACCAGACCGCCTCGACGAGCGCAAGTACCGCCGTCGCCGCCAGCGTGACTTTTACTATCATCACTCCGCTCGACCCGGCCCAGCGCGGCTGCCAGCTCTCCCTCCTCTTCGAGCCGGTCGATTCGATGGACTGGATTTTCGACCGACTGCGGTCGCGTGGCGTGCTGGGCGACGAGCGGCGACCGGGCGTGATCCGTTTTGCGCCGGTCCCGCTTTACAACACTTACTCGGATGCGCTGCGGGCGGCGCAGGCTCTCGATGAGTGCCTGGCGGCGTACGAGTCTCGCCAAGTAATTTGAGGCGCTCTCGCCGTCGAGGCAAAGTAGCACAAGGGTTCCAGGACGAAACGAATAGAGCATTTTTCCACAGCTGGCATTTTTGTTCCTCGTGAGGATCTGACGGAATGGTGCTCTCTGTGCGTTCTACACATACAAATATAGTGTTCCCCGTCTTGAAGAATCTGAAAGGCGCGAGTTCCGATCCAACTCAACTGTGCACTTGCGCGTTCCGAAGCAAGTTGACATCCAACCACACTCCGCCGTGCTCGCTTGCACCCGCTGCTGTAGCTTGTCTGCACCTGCCACTGAGTCTCCTGACGCTCTCTGAACCGACCAGCCCTTCCTCCGCCGAGCAGAGATGGTACGCCGCCTTCGTCGCTGTCCTCGTCATCGCTCGACATTCGCTCGCGCACACGTCGCAGGAACTGACGAGGGCGTTCCGTATACACACAGTCTTCGATCGGAACAGGCTACGACCTGTCCACTTCGACGTACTCGCCTGATGGTCGCATCTTCCAGGTCAGTCATGCCCCCGACCAGCCAGACAGCTTCAGGCGGTCCTCGTTCATAGGGACGCGTAGCAGC